CTAAATTCTGAAAAAACTTTAAAATAGCAAAAGGCACATCAATGGGTAATGATTAACATGTGTGTGAAGTTTGGTGAACCTAGCATGTAAACTTTAAGAGATATGCTCCGGACAAAGTTTTGGGACGGACGGACGGACGTCCGGACGGACAGAATGAACGCTATATACCCCCGTTACTTCGTAGCGGGGGTATAATAATGAAGAAAAATCCAGGGAACGGTTCTTGAGATAGCTTAACATGCAGGTTAACATGCTGAAATCTTCATAGTGTCGCCATGACCTTGAAAATTACGTAACATGCACGTAAAACGTTAAAGTCCCCTTGTGAACTTGAAATGAAGGTCAAGGTCACCAAACCTGACTTGGACCTTTTGTATACTGTTATGAACCTAGGTACCAAATATGAAAAGAATCTAGTGAACGGTTCTAAAGATATTCCAATTCATACGTATGGACGTACGGGCAGAGCCTAATACTATATCCCCTGCTTCGCACTCAACGGGCGGCGGGGGATAACAAACACAATTAACACCCAGTCTTACATAAAGAACAACACTTTTTATGATCATTGCTTGATAACAGTGTCAGTATCTACATCGAAAAGTTGCATCTATTGCTATAAAAAAGTTGTCTATCGATAAAAAGTGTTCCTCTTCATCATACCAGCTTCTAAATGCCACTATAAGAAGATACAGTCTTACTTAGGGGTGGAATACATAGCCAAGGTATCTGTATTTCATGGTTCCTCAGTAGGCCCCTACACAGGCAGGGGCAGGTAATAGGGGACTGGGTACCACAGTAGTACATTCAGCCTCACAGCATATGTATACCTACAAACACTTACAAACGATACATAGAGGCAATGCTAAATCAGGGGTGGAAATAACTTTAAAATTGCTAGTGTACTCGGTACAGTGGCACATGTAAAATCTCTTGCCCTAATAATTTTCCCACTATACTGGCCAATTTTCTGGTTGATTTTTTAAATAAGAAACATAATGAACATAGGAAAGTCAACGGGACATCAGTACACCATGATATACAAATTGGCTTGCCCAACAGATAAAACCACTGGACTGGGACATCGAGCAATGGGTTCTTTTCCACCCCTGCTGTTACACTGACAGATAGCCCCGAGATGGATCTCTGTTGTTTCTCGGAGCTATCACTTACATTCTACCTAGATCATAGTGCCCTGAGTGCCATTGTACAAAGCGATCTCAGCGCTAAGGTGACCGTAACTACCATACCTTTACATAGACTTAAGGTGTAGTCTTAGCGCTAAGGTTGTTTTGAACAACGGCACCCTGGAAGTATTCAAGTTTGGACCCAACAAACCAGAGGGTGATATCATGAGCAACATTCAAAGCCACTTTACATAATGACACACAATCCAAGCCTGATCCGTTTAGTTGTTTCAGAGGCTGCTGGGAACCTGTTGAGCCCCAGAACACCCAAGGGGTTATAGCCCATGGATCGAGTGATGGGCGAAACCTTGGCAAGTTGTTCTGCCTCTCATCAACAAGCTCATTTTCTAAATATTTCCCACGCTTCGAATAAAGTCGCTCTTGAACACAGTGGAAAGATGAGTCAACATTGTTCAACATTGCCATTATTTTTAGCCGATAATATACAGAAGAAACATCCTTCCATCCACGCGGTGAGGGTGTGTATCTGGCTCAACTTCACTTTGATCAGTAAGTCAGTTGTATCATGGCAGTCACAGGATGAAACAAAACACCAACAGTATCATTGTTCCACGGAAAAAAATAACGACAAAAACTAATGATTTTACAACTGAAAAAGAACAAGCATTGCCAGCCCTAATGGAAGCTTGAGCAATCAGTAGGGTAAGAAATAGATACTTTCATGTGAAAAAAAGGTAATGGTAACATTTTTAGAATGGATGGATCTTTGAGATTCTGGTTTTCACTTCTAGGTGTAAGGTAAAGAATTGGTCAAAGGTCCACACATAAAACTTTTCATGTGACATTAATGAACTATTTTTCAGACTGACAATGTGGTGTTTTGATTTCTGAAGCAGTATCAGCGTACATGTAACTACATCCTTGTTTGCATCCTCAAGCAACAAAATGAGAGAGTGAGTGAGTGAGTGAGTGAGTGAGGTATGCTGTTGTCCTGAACTGTATTTCTGTTACCTCCTTACTTGCCGTCTTAAGACAATACAATCTCTCACATCTACCAGTTCCTGGGCCTGACCTTTCAAACCAGTGACTGACATCATGAGCATTAAACCAAACTGTTGTTATCAGCTCCAATGTTGTCACCACTCGGCAGTCATCCTCATCTCCATGAACCATTACTAAAGTCTAGTGACATACCATGGCATGTAAATTAGAAACATAAGCATGTAATGGTATTTTAGTTACATCACTGTTTTGCAGGTTAGGTACTGGAGAAAGCCTATTAGTACATGTAGCTGTTTACCATGAAAATCAATAGGAAGGGAACACTTAATCAAACCAGGATTCAAACAAACTACCATCAGATCCTAGCACTACCAAGGGAGGCAACTCACATAAAGATACAACTTTTCCATTTGGGTACAGAATTAGCATACATAGGACACTGACAAGTTTCCGGTTGCAGAAGGTACCCTGGTTTCTTCTTTTTTTCTGCTTTTACTTCTACTAAAGCTTCCCATTTTGACAATTAGACATGCATCCTTCCGAGAAAATACCAATGACCTATATACAAATATTTCCACATCACTCATATGAAATACTGGATCAACATCAACGATGAATTTAAACAGCCTACTTAAGTGCAATCCCACTGACAGGAAATTTAAATTTTCATTTTGGAGAAGCCGCAGTGTCAGCAGGAAGTGGAACAATGGGTAAATATTTCACTGGCTAACAGCGTTCATATCACTATCAGCTTCCTGGTAGGGAAACTTCAAACTACATTATGAATCAGTTGCAGTGGATTACTAACCACTTAGGAATGTAATAAACACAAATACTGCCTTAATGCAAAGCAATAAATAATAATCCAAGTCAGCTGGATCAAAACCATCTGGTGAGCCTGTAGTACCAGTCTCGGGTGGTAGCTCTCACACTGAATTAAACTGTGGGACAGCTAGAAAGGCAAATTATTTCCTAATAATGAACCTTGATGGTCAGACTGCGTACTATGTACATCACAAGATATGCTCCGTATCTCCTAACAGTAAATCTTGATAGTCCCAACTGATCACTATGACTGCTAGAGTTGTTGACATGAACAGCTTGATACACACAATATAAAAATGATTTTAAATAATTGTACGCTCTCAAAGTCAATGATGATGTCATCGAACTACTGCTGATATAGAGGGTAATACAGGGTAATACAGAATCCACGCTCACAACCAAGGCTGATGACATCAATACTGGTTTCATATACAGTACTACCAGTATGCTCTCCAAACCATCACTGATGCCATCCACCATACGGAATAATACATTGTATAGTCGTTTGGCTGAAAAGCGGACGATGAATTGCAATCTAACTCGAAAACTTATAAACATATAATACTCAATGAAACACTGATCATAATGAAAACGTCAGACCAACTCTGAGAGGTGTTTGCAGAATCCATGTCCTAAAAGTAAAAAAGTTGTTTAACAAACTATCATTAAAATATCGACACAGTTCACTATTTGTTACAAGGGAGGAGTGCAGAGATAGGGACAGCCGGGTGTGTGAGAAAGGATGGAGACGGGACAGCACAGGTTAATGAATCAATAACTTTGTCGGCACTTGTGCACGTGCTTCTCTAACACCTGGCTGTCCCTTTCTCTGCACTCCTCCCTTGTAACAAACAGTGAACTGTGCCAATATTGTAATGATAGTTTTGAGCCAAACGCACTATACACTCTCACAACCAACACTGATGGTATCAATCTGTTGATATACACAGTGATACATTGTACACTCTCACAACCAACACTGATGGTACCAACCTGTTGATATACACAGTAATACATAGTACACTCTCACAACCAACACTGGTGGTACTAATCTGTTGATATACACAGTAATACATTGTACACTCTCACAACCAACACTGATGGTACCAACCTGTTGATATACACAGTAATACATTGTACACTCTCACACCCAACACTGGTGGTACCAAGCTGTTGATATACACAGTGATACATTGTACACTCTCACAACCAACACTGATGGTACCAACCTGTTGATATACACACTAATACATTGTACACTCTCACAACCAACACTGATGGTACCAATCTGTTGATATACACAGTAATACATTGTACACTCTGACAACCAACACTGATGGTACCAACCTGTTGATATACACAGTAATACATTGTACACTCACACAACCAACACTGATGGTACCAACCTGTTGATATACACAGTAATACATTGTACACTTTCACAACCAACACTGATGGTATCAATCTGTTGATATACACAGTAATACATTGTACACTCTGACACCCAACACTGATGGTACTAACCTGTTGATATACACACTAATACATTGTACACTCTCACAACCAACACTGATGGTACCAATCTGTTGATATACACAGTAATACATTGTACACTCTGACAACTAACACTGATGGTACCAACCTGTTGATTTACACAGTAATACATTGTACACTCTCAAACCCAACAAAGACATCAATATTGGGTTGATATACAGTAGAATACTTTTATAACAAACACAGATATAACAAACACAGATATAACGAACTGACAGCTATAGCGAACTGTCTTAAAAGTCCCAAATAAACCTTATATTATCATATAAAGAAGTGAATAGCGAACTACGGATATAACGAACTAATTTCAGTGGTCCCTTAGAGTTCGTTACAAAGGTATTTTACTGTACATTTATAAATAATACATTTTCACAACCAACATGGATGTCATTCACCTACTTTTGATACATATTGTAAACAATCCATAATACAATGACAAAATCCATAATACAATGACATAGTTTGACTTACTTGAGCTTTATCTGTATCTGTGCACTTTCCAGATTTGTTTCCAGCACCTCATCAATCACTCCAGTCCTGCAACAACAACGACCCATTAACAATGTAGGATGTATATCACAATCTACACCATCACAACACCCACCCATTAACAATGTAGGATGTATATCACAATCTACACCAGTCCTGCAACAACACCGACCCATTAACAATGTAAGATGTATATCACAATTTACACCATCAACTTAACCAGACTTCTGTGGGGTCAGATTTCATCACTGACAAAAACACATCGATCACGGTTAATCCATCATTACTTAAGGAGTGACTGCACCACCAGGGCAAGACATGCTTACCCTTTCTGTCAACTGGTGTCACCACCAAACTAAAGACCAATTCACATGCACCTGCTTGCACACATATGTATAAATACACACATAAGCAAACTCTACATATGTGTGTAAATGTGTCACGTAAACACATTTACACACGTATGTAAATATACAATAGGTGCAAATTTACTTGTTTGAACACAATTTCTTACATAAATAAAAAAATACTAGACAAGCATTTCTTTTCAATTACTTAAAGCTGTTTGGTTTAAAATCAAATTAAATGCCTCAAATTTGGTTGACAAAGTGAAAACAGTACGATTATCAGCCCATGAGACACTCCTGGTCACAAACACTGGAAGGTATTTCAAAACTAGTCGCTATAGTCCGTTTGCTCAAAAGCGGACCGATGAATTGCAATCTAACTCGAAAACTAGTAAACATAAAATACTCAATGAAACACTGATCATAATGAAAACGTCAGACCAACTCTGAGAGGTTCTTGCAGAATTTTTGTCCTAAAAATAAAAAAGTTGTTCAACAAACTATCATTAAAATATCGACACAGTTCACTATTTGTTACGAGGGAGGACTGCAGAGAAAGGGACAGCCGGGTGTGCAAGAAAGGATGCAGACGGCACAGCACAGGTTAATGAATCAATAACTTTGTCGGCACTTGTGCACGTGCTTCTCTAACACCTGGCTGTCCCTTTCTCTGCACTCTTCCCTCATAACAAATAGTGAACTGTGTCAATATTTTAATGATAGTTTGTTAAACAACTTTTTTCATTTTAGGACATAAATTCTGCAAACAAATCACAGAGTTGGTCTGATATTTTTATATGTTCATTAGTTTTTGAGTTAGATTGCAATTCATCGGTCCGCTTTTGAGCCAAACGCACTATGCTTGAGTAACTTAAAATCTTAAGGTTAACTATCCTAATGAGCATGTTCCATGTTATCAAACATGCCAGACATATTTCATGAGAAGATCAGCAATTTTTAATTTCAACGTAAGTTTCCTCCCCAAGAGCTGGCTGGGGTGAAGGTTTCAGCGGTCTTAACTTGGGTTCCCATCTCAATGTTTATACACCATGTACATTTAACAGGTCAGTTGAGTGCGACAGACCAATCCCAGAAATCAGGCCTCACAAAGCCCCACATTTCCCCCCCGATTACCATCTTGAACCAGCAATGGGGGTCTCCTGCCACAGCCGTTCTCAGCCTGTACCGTGATTGTAGATACTGTCAGCCATTAGGGAACCATTGTTCTACCAACATTTCCACTTTCTCAGGACATAAACTTAATTTTAATATGGGAAAGTGTCATGATTTGAATAAGGTAAGTGCGTGACTGGTGTTTTAAGCAGTTTTAAGCTATATTCCAGCCCAAACAAGGTAGGATGCCACAAACGACATTTTGGGAATCGAACTCTGATCTTCAGCATGGTGAGCAAACCAACCACTATGCCTTCCAACTGCCTAAAACCATATGCAGGGAAAGGAAACCTACTTGGTCCCAGTGCAACCATAGCTCATAACCTTGTTGCATCAGGCTAGTAGTTTGCAGCTTGTGCTCAATATATACATATGTATACTCTCTCTCCTCACACATGAATGTCGTTTTCTGATTGGCTGAGAGCTCTTCTATTATTTTCAATGTACCCCACTTACAAGCGAATAACATTTTCATGAATGTACCCCGCTGAGAATGCCGAACTCATTTGGTACTCCGTAGTAGTAATTCTTTATCTTGAATAACATTGAATTACGTATAATGTACGAAAATTAACGATGTTTTGCGAATGCAAATCGATGGAAGGGAGATAACTCTAAATTTGTTTTTCTTGTCGTCTGGTACTCCATATCATGATCCGATACCCATGCTTCAAACAGTTCAAAATTACCATTAAGGTGTTCAGTAAGATAATACGTTGTTCACTGGTCCCTCGGGGCCCATGGGTTGATGTACCCTCGATGTTGATCAACCCCCTATGGGGTTCGCTTGAAATACTATTCGGAGGGTATGGGACGCGAGAGTAAATTTAATGCAACGTTTCATTCATTCATTAGAACTTTTAAATTTAATATTGTAATCTAAATCCGCAATTTTTCTAAAAATAAATTATATGGTAGCTTCCCTGAACGCTGATAGTTAGTATTATTGAGAGAAATGCATTATTTATTTGAGAGAAATGCATTATTTATTTTAGAGAAATTTGGTGTGATATAGTGCCTTCAAGTTTCAGCATTCATGATTTAGATCATCAGTACAATAACATTATTCTGGCACTATTAGATTATGTTATTTTACTGCATAACATTTCATGACATTGCCAGAGAAGTCATTCAATTACTGTCCGGTCACTACCAAGCCAGTTCCTCATCATTCCGTTTTCCAGCTGAAGTCTGCATTCTTTGAACATGCACTGGTTGCAAGTTGGTGTAAACATGAGGTTTCGCGGTCTCTGGATGCGCTAGTGTAAGTTCTAAATGCTTACATCAAGCCCTGATATAAAATAATACAGTATATTTTACAGACTGTTTGCTCTTCTCCATAGAATTACATGTACCAAGACCTGAAATCCAGTCAGTAAGAATTTGTACATGATACACGTATGATCCGTCCCCATGCAATGCTTAAAAAAAAAAACACAGATATGAACACCTGACCTATTAAGTCAGGTCACAGTGACCTTTCATCCAGCCAGAGCGTCATTTGAGACATTGCAAAAAATGAAAATCGGAATGGGTTTTCTGATCATGCACCGCTGAAAAGGTTAATGCGTTATTCCATGAATGATCCTGAATCCCAGACATAGCCTATCTCTTGATTAAATGGGCCAAACATTTGAAAAGGATAAATTTCCGTAACTAGTGTACAGTTCCACACAATATCAGGCATAAAACAGGTATTCAAGAACTATCTAGTTTTCTTTGATGTAGCTGATACTAATATATAGAAAACGAGGAAAAAGATTCTTAGTACCATTTCATAAACATCAAAGGGTAATCATTGATGTTGTTTTATTGTATCCTTGTCGGGAGTAAACTGTCTATGACAAGCGACGGGTATAACCACTTCACTGTCTCATACTATCTTCAATATGAATGGAAGCCTGAGAGGTCAAGGTCACAATTAATGTTAACAGTATTCTCTCAGAAGCATACTTATAAAAGCAACATTTGCAAAACATTTACATCGTGTTGCTATTGATGTTGAGTTTGATACTAACCTTTTGACTGATGCTTCAAACACACCACTGTCACCAGCTACAGACTCATCACTCACTGCTGCAGAAACACTCCGTGTATTTCCACCAGACAAATTGTTGCACACACCGGAACTACTTTCACTGATTGGACTAAGAGGAGGGTTAGATGTGGAGTCCAAGTTCTCTAATCCTTGTGAACGTTTTGTGTTTATTTCACCACTCTCCGCTAGTAAAGATTGCGGAACCATTTGTCCGACCACTGGCACTCTAGTCCGAGAGTTATCTACCCTTGGGTATTGTGGAGAATTTTCTGTTAATTTTGATTGATCGTCGCAGTTAAGTAGAGGTTGCCCACCAACCATCCAGTTGCCACCCAGGCTCACATGACGCTGCCGTTCTCACGGCGCTCATGTTGCTCTAAATGAAAGGGCGGGGAACTATTTCCATGGGCATATAAGGAGACACTGGGCGATGTTGATGAAAATGAAGATTGGGGGACACTGATTTAACCGAAGGCACTTTATCCCCGTTGCCATGACACTATGTAGGTAATTCCCTGTCGCTGCGGCTGTGATGTCTAAGTTGGACATTTGCGGAATGACCGCTTCCTGAATAGGGGGGCCATCCATTGACCCTGCAGAAGTTTCTCAACACGTTGATGAAGGTCCTGTAAATTTATATCACTTCCACTTTGGCTCTGATTGTAAATGTCCACAGCACTGAGGGAGTTGAGGGATCCCAGGCTGCTGGCCGAGAGAGACCCTAGTGATCCCAGGCTTGATCCCGAGGACATTGACAATGTGCTCAGCGACAAGCTGAAACATAACAAGGATAGTTGTAAGTCTTGACAAGAACACATCATCATGGAATGAGTGAATGTTGTTTTGTTCCCAGTCAGAATTATTCCAGCCATATCAAAGTAAAATCTAAATGATTGAGTCAAGACAACAAAAAACGTGACTAAAAACATGAGTGAGTGAGTGAGTTTAGTTTCATGCCGCTTTTAGCAATATTCCAGCAAAATCAAAGCAGAGGAACACCTGAAATGGGCTTCATGTATTACACCCCTGTGGGGAATCCAACCTCGATCAAAAGATAATATGAGCACAGATTGAAGCCTCACCATCAGTTCCCCATCTTGGTAGACAAGCACGAGGTACTGGGGGGCCAATCTACCACTGGAATCCCCAAAAAGTTATAATTTTGCTCTTGTCAAAAATTTAGGGTAATGATGGCACTGAGTTTTAGTTTTACGCCACTTTTAGCAATATTCCAGCAATATCACGGCGGGGGACACCAGAAATGGGCTTCACACATTGTGCCCATGTGGGGAATCGAATCCGGATCTTCGGCGTGACGAGCCAACACTTTAACCCCTAGGCTACCCAAGCGCCCTAATGATGGCATTGAAACACCTTTTAAAAGGGAAGCAGTGAGCGGATTAGTGGTGTTAAAAATGTTTTGAAACATTTGTTTTTCTACTTTTATGACAGAATGTGAGGTCAATGTGGAAGGAAAAACTGAAGTAATGCAGGTCCATTCTGTTGAAATCCACTACCACAGGTTTGTGTTGTGAAAACACTGATTTGAGAGGCAAACCCAAGTGGGAGCATCAATTTGATATTACCATTGTGAGTATTTAACTGACTAGATGATGCACTATCAATCTATTTTGTAGTTAATGCAACTCATATCAATATTTCTGCTATATGATGGCTAACTATGAACAATATCTGGACCAGACATTAAGCAAGACCAGATCCTACAATCATTTTGGATTGCCTCAGATATTTCGCAGCCTTGTATTTAGGGGTGTGTATTGTCGAAAATATGCATATTGCGATATATTGCGATGCGAAAGCATATATTGCGATATGTATTGAAATATATTGCAAGAATTATTTTTTTTAAAAACTACTTATAATCGAGTTAATGCTTGATTTACAAAGCAAATACACAACAAAATCGCTATGCTTGATAAGGCTTTAATAAAAACTTTAAATCATGACAAAATAAAAATGCAAATAATGTTTGGAACAAATGAAACAAGGAAAGGAACAAATTAAAAAAACAGAAATATCCGAAAAATTTCTGAGTGTTATGAAGTTTTCCGAATGTATGTCAAAATACCGGTTTTCGATCAGCGTATCGTAATACGTATCGTTCTCATGCCTAAACCAGTTATATTGCGCAGCCCTACTTGTATGACATGTATTGTTTATGAACGCCCTCCGAACCATGAGTTCTGATGGGCATCGGCAGTAACAACACTCACCTCTTCAGCTGCGTCTCAAGGTACGACGTTAACTTGGTGGTCTCCGAAAGTTGATGCATCACAGTAACCTTCTCATTGTTTAGTTTTAATCTGAAATGTTCAGAAAAGTAGACATTTTGAAATATTCACACACGTTTAGATCCATCTTGTTAAAACATAACAGTGACAGTCAGAAGGCTGTCAGCAAAATAGCACATATCCTTTGTGCGCTATTGCACATGAAACAAGCAAACTAGTGACTGATAAGTATTTACCTGCAGTGTGTGTCTGGGTTGTGCGCATGCATCTGTGTCTATGTGTCTGTGTGTGTATCTATCCTCATATTAGGCTGGAGCAATGCCAGTTGATTAGCTCTTGTCAACTGAGATACCATGGTATAGCTTAACAAGGATACCCCACTCAGCTTGTTTCTTCCCAAAACACTGTTCACCAGGCAGGGAAACAACAAGTGCCATCTTTAATGTCTTTAGGTACGACATGGCCAAGCATGTCTTCGGGCAGACATGAAGTACAAGCACCTATTGTGTCCAAGAATCTGTCTGTAACTGATTCGTTTCCTACCTCTCTGCTATCTGCTTATTGGAGATCTCCAAAGCATGGTTGATGTCATATTTCAACTGTGCGATTCGCTGTTGTATCTTAGCCAGCTCACTCTCACTGCGACCTTTAGGGTCAATACTTCTTAATTCACGTAGCAACTGTTCCTTTTCTTGCAGCAACAACAATCTGGAGAAAAAATAATCAATTTACAAATGCATCAAAAAGGAGTGATTCTATTATTATGATTCTGTATATCAACACTATTACAGACTATTACACTAGAAAAGAGAAAAGTATATCTGGTCAGCAATTACATAACCTTGAACCTTGAATTAATACATTAATTGCTGATTGTCTGTGCACATATTCCAGCAATATCGCAGCAATCTGTAAATAACTACGGTTGAACCAGACAATACAGTGATCAATATTCTGAGCAGCGAACCACGTCACCAGGGTGCAATGGCTCCCCATACATTTCTCATTTTAAAGCAGCACAGACAGCTCGGGACTACAGTCCATTTGATTTCATTTGAGACCGATGAATTGCTCACTAACACAAAATCTAATAAATGCAACAAAACCAAGTCTTGCACAGTCACATAAAATCGACAGAGACCAACTCTGATGATTTGTCTCATAATTTTGGACACCCAAGTCCAAAAGTTGTTTAACAAACGATTATTATTTTGTTGTCACTTTTTTGCTATATTTTTTACGAGGGAGGACCCCCTTGCTGGTAGATACAGACAGGTAATCAACAAGCTTGTACAGTAAAAGTTCAATGTCACACGTGCAACTCGCACACCTATCCCAGCAGCCCCTTGGGTGTTCACAAACACTGTACCTGTCTTTGTCACACTCTGTCTGCCCAGGGATCATCTGATCTTCCACCTTGGCCAGCTGAACCTTCAGTTGACTGAGTTTCCGCCGTGCTTCATCGTACTGGAGACGGGAGTCGTGTCTTCTCCGCAAAGATTCGATTCTGCTTCAAACCAAACTGAAATTGCATGATTTGTGAGAAATGCCACAACGTCATCTGACTTGGCTTACAGATGGGTTATACAGGAGTCTTTGAGCTCATTCTAAATGCCATTGTTCAATGGCAAAATATTTAATTATTGACACAGTATTCATAATTTGTAGTGCTTCCCTTAATTCACTGCATTTTGAAGTTCCTTAGATACATCAACAAACACCTACTCTGAAGACACCCCCTGGTAACACACCCTGACTCACCTCTCCTCTCAGATCCGTTTGCGACGCCGTACTGGACCGCTCAGCCAGCGCCAACGAAAGTGTCGACACATCTGGTGAGGAGCCGCCATTCTTCCCAAGCATGAACTCCTCCTTCAGTCTGGCCAAGGACTGCAACAAGAAGGACAAACTGCACCACCATGTTACATTTGACGAGTTTCAAACTAAACCCATAAGCATTCCAATAATATATCAGTCCTAGTCATTTGTGACTGAGTGAGGCTTAATACAACTGTGGGCAACAAAGAAATAGCTTTGCTTGAATTCCCAAAACTGGATGGTGGGGAACCGAACTCAAGTCTTTGGCATGACAAGCAAATGCTTTACCCTATCGGCTATCCATTGAGCCATGTCATATAGATATCACTTTCTGAAACAAAGGTATGGAGATGTTTGCTGGCGATGTGAGTGAATGGGATAGCTTTGATCAGTATTTCAGTGTCTGGTTAAAGTTGGAGAAAATCCTGAAGTGATACGGATTTCAGACATTTACCAATGAGTGAGTGAGTTTAGTTTTACGCCGCACTCAGCAATATTCCACCTATATGGCGGCGGTCTGTAAATAATCGTGTCTTGACCAGACAATCCAGTGATCAACAGCATGAGCACCGATTTGCACAATTGGGAACCAATAACATGCGTCAACCAAGCCAGCGAGTCTGACCACCCGATCCCGTTAGTCGCCTCTTACGACAAGCATGGGTTACTGAAGGCTCATTCTAACCCAGACCTTCACAGGTCAGACATTTACCAGTTGATGAAACCATGAGCACGGGTTAGACGCTGACAACCACGTTACACAATCATGTTACACCAAGATTCAAACCAACAATCGCGTTTCTAACCTTTCTAAGGGATACAACTCTGCACAGCAAATAATAGCACCATAGAAGACTGGGCCATCGGTGCCCATGGTTTAAATTGACCTTGGACAACCTTGGCATGAGACAAGCCACCCATAAGGATAAGTTGATGGTGTCAAATAACATAATGAAATTCATTTATCAACAGAAACGTCTCACATTACTTACATAAGAACACATAAAACAATTTCAAAGCTTTTATCAAAGTTCAAAACATCAAAAATAGCATTTATTTTCGGCTCCTATGCTCAGTCTAATGTCTAAAACAGAGATTTCTCCATTCATGTTATTTTGTATGTTATCTACACGGTGCCTCCTACACCCCTCTCCTCCCACTGCAATCTTCAGCTGGTCGATAAATTCAATTAGAATGTCCCTAATTGGATCTACAACACTGAAGAAGTCTAGTTTCTGACAAACCACAATGAACAAACAGACGCAAACCTCTTTGAGACTACTGCAAAATTAAATCGTTAGCCACATTAGCTTATCAGACTACAAGATACTTCCAGACAGACCCAATGCTGGATTTGCTGACGAGATGGAGAGTTTTCAACCCAAAGCACAGAATTGGACCAAAGTTGTTATTAACACTGGTGTTGAAAAGAAATGACTAGAAATATAGCTCACTCAAACCCACCCAAAGGCTTCCCTGTCAAGTTCAATAGTTATCACAAAGGCTTGTGTCAATAGTCTTGGAAGTAAAACTACACTCACTCACTCACTCAAAGTCACCCACCAAAACTCCTATCCAAAGATACATAGTTGTTACAAGTATGTTATTTGTGTCTTGATATAAATGGTACACGCTCACAGACTGAAACCCAGCCATCCGAATCACACCCCCACAAGCACATTCCCCTTCTCTCACTCGCTAATATTTAACAAATGAAACATTTTGGCCTACAATTGACAGATATATGATAAAACAAAATACTAAGTCTTAAATGGCTGCATAGTTTAATATTACAATAACACCCTGCAAACTGAATTAACCTAAAACGTATTCACAACTTCATCAAGTCAAAAGATTTCACATTGAGATCTTCATTCTTCCAGATTACAAGTTTTATAATGTTGCAGGTTCCATATTCTTTCAGAAATCTAGTACCATCACTACAGCTCCCTAAACATCAAACTAAAAACTTTTAAAAACTGTTGAAGAGAGACCGTGTTTATGTGACGTGGAAGAGTGGAGAGTTTATGGTTTATCTGCGAGTGTCGGGGTGCCGCACGACTTCCACCTACGCACTGTTGAAGGAGATAAGTAATACAGATCTACAAGTGTTCCTCCCAGGATCCACAGTCATTCATAAAAACTAGCATTCACCATTCTGCCGACACAGCACATATCAAAGCACTGTATGAACGTAACATTACCACAACGTCTCCAATAAATGCTCAACCTTTTTTTACATTAAACCCTTTCATTCATATTGCTCCACTTTTGACAGTGATATTTTTATCTTAAGTGTCAAGTGCATATGTTAGCAGAATGGTATCTGATTATCCCTGTTAAAAGTTGAGTAGTATATTAAGTTACCATTCTAAATGATAACAAGGTGATGCATTCTACTCATTATAATTGTTGATTTTTAATATGTGTAACCATTTAAGTCCATATTTTGCTTCTCTTGAATTAAATTTTCTTATTTTCAGAGCTACAGGTAACTTTTTGGGATATTGAGTTACATACTCACTTGTGTTCATCTCAATTGGGTTTCCTAATTTTCCTTTGAGTAACCAAATAAATTGTACTCACCTCACTCAAACTTAATTGGGTATTTTGCCATTTTCCATTAAATTTGAAAATATAGTAAAGTTTAAATGTTAATGTTTGTTATTTATATTTGATCTGTAAAACGAGAAACGATAAGAAAGACTGCAAGTTGTTAAGTTCATGTCGTGAAATAGAACCTCTCAGTATACGTCAGTTATTTTATCTATCCACCGGTATGCAAGCTAAGATTTGACATTTTTGTGTGTACGCATGTAAGATCACATTTATTGAGTATTTACAAAAATTCAAGCGTACTTGTACGCAACAGACTGAATAGAAATTGAGTTTTCACATAAATATTTGCATAATTTACGCAGATACGCAGCTTATCTGAGCATCTGCATTTTTCATCATGAACATTGCTTATAAAGAGTTAGTGAGTGAGTGAGTGAGTGGGTGAGTTTAAAACTGCTTTGAGCATCATTTCAGTTCTATAGTGGCATACCAGGTTATTCTGGGAAACCCTGTAGTCATTAAGTGATGGATGTTGACCACTTTGTTGAAACACTCAGGCACAGATTATAAAATCATAGGATTCTAGCATGACTAAGGGAGGCAACTGGAGGTCAGACCCACTGACTGGGTTGATTACCCCAATGTTCTACCATGACAAGAAGACCCCCAACTGCTCATGTCATGGATCTGTACAGGGTATATGAAAGCCTTGTAAAGTAATGAAATGGTGAAGTGTACTGAAATGTAAGATTTCTTAATTGTTTTAATTAATTTCTTGACACAAATTTGGTACAAAGAATATTATTGTGCATACTTAAGGAAAAACCCTGGATGCTTTTTTCAGTGTGTCTTTTTTCTCTGTCCAAAAAGTCAATCATTGGATTGTCTGTTCCACACTAAATTATTTATAGACTGCTGTCACATGGCAAGAATATAGCTGAGTTCAGCATCAGAAAAATCACTGTTGTAAATCTAGACCACAAAACAAGCTTGTGCTATTTATAATCACATATTCTTAATTCAGAGGACAGTCAAAATATGGAATATGTCATATTTATAAAATTAATTCATAAAACAATCATTACATATGCAAGTCATGACATGTTAAGATTTCTTAAATGATATTTATGGAAATCTGTATGTGTTGTACCAATGGAGTGTGACACTTGTGTGCTGGTATGAAAGCATCTCTTCATCTCAAAGGACATCGTGCAAATCATTCACTGAAAAACGCACAATGAATATGTGTTCACAAAACACATAATTTACTGTGCCTGACAAGTACAGAAATCTCTCACGGTTACAGTTGTCATTCATTTTATCTCATCCGTACCATCATCTTCAACCTTCATACACAAACACATTTTATATTTCTCAGTTAATGCTTCAGGGTTTAGGCAAGTCCGCAATTATCCTGATAGAGTGAGTGAGTTTCACTTTTACTCCTTTTATAATTCCTGGTGCCATCCACTTCTAATTCCTCTAACCCATTACATCTGCCCCTCCCCCTCAATACATCCCTTCCCCCTCATTACATCTCCCCTTCCCTTCATTACATCTCCCCCTCACCCTATTACATCCCTTCATTACATCCCTTCCCCCCTCATTACATCTCCCCCCTCATCACATTTTCCCCCCCCTCAGTACAACCACCTCTTATCCCCTTCATTTTCAAGGGTCCTTACAGGAAAAATGAAGGTCCTGTAGAGTCATGAAATGGTGTAGTGAACTGAAATTATTAAATCATTAAATAATTTCTTTGATTACACAAACTTCATATTTGTAACAAAATTGAAACAATGAATTTTATTGTGCATCTTTAAGAATGCAATATATATTTTCTCAGCGTCCATTCTGTCTTTGTGCATGAAACAATGCAGCCATCTCTCCTCTCAGTCACATTGTACATGCTTCTCCATATATATCATCTCTCTCTCTCTCACTCACTCACACACAGACACACACACACACACACACACACACACACACACACACACACACACACACATAAATTATGAGCCGTTCCCAAGTCCAAATATACACATCCAATATGTATACGTTTTAAGGCTGTCTTTCAAATACCTAGGTAAAGTTGAAAACGTAATCACTCAAATTCTAAAACAATAGAATTATACAAATGATTCCGAAACATTGAATGTATGTTTTCAAGTTCTCAATCTGTCTATTCCAGAGAGCCAGTGAAATCTTCCCTATCATCCAGATAGCCAGTGAGATCTCCCCTTTCATGGCAGCCACAAAGCGACAACCATAAGCCTGTTGCAAAGGAAATGGAGCTGACGAATTACAGCCAGTCTGACACCTTGTGTTAAAATGGCCAGCATAGCTAGGGAGTGACAAGAAAACTTGGAAGTTATTCCGTCAATGTAAATAAATATTGACAGGTAAATGTGCATGCATGCAGTGCACACAGGGCGCCGAGTTGCCCGGCACTAGCGAAGGGAGCTGTCCGCTATATGGCTACACAACATTGCATCATGTAAGGCAGTTACGCCATCGATGAGTCACAGCATGTGTGTTCAACTGAATTCCATTCAAAACACAATTAATTATCTCTCGGTTAACAAGCCTGAGTGATGTTTGCTCAATACTCTTGACTGCTAATAGCCCCTCTTCTAGCATCCTAACCCATCTTGTAGAGCGTACACCGCCAGCATCCTGTCCCTTCATGCATTGCGACCTATCACAGCCTCTCCTGCAACTACCTACAACTCCATCACAGCTTCACCAGCACCCTACAACCCCTCCTTCAAACCCCTGCCCTACACCTGAACATCCTCTTGGACCCTACCTGTTCCCCAGCACCCTAACACCTGCATGGTGATAACATTGTCCAGCGCCCTACACACTCCTTGCCAAGTAAACCATCACACCTCAGCACCCAAACACCTGCATGGTGATAACATTGTCCAGCGCCCTACACCCTCCTTGCCAAGCAAACCATCACACCTCAGCACCCTAACACCTGCATGGTGATAACATTGTCCAGCGCCCTACACACTCCTTGCCAAGTAAACCATCACACCTCAGCACCCTAACACCTGCATGGTGATAACATTGTCCAGCGCCCTACACCTTCCTTGCCAAGTAAACCATCACACCTCAGCACCCTAACACCTGCATGGTGATAACATTGTCCAGCGCCCTACACCCTCCCTGCCAACTAAACCATGGCACCTCAGCACCCTAACACCTGCATGGTGATAACATTGTCCAGCCTCTACAATAATTCCCTGCCAAGTAAACCATCACACTCAGCACCCAAACACCTGCATGGTGATAACATTGTCCAGCCCTACACCCTCCTTGCCAAACAAACCATCACACCTCAGCACCTTAACACCTGCATGGTGATAACATTGTCCAGCCTCTACACACCTCCTCCTCCTTGCCAAGTAAACCATCACACTGACCTCAGCACCCCTAACACCTGCATGGTGATAACATTGTCCAGCGCCCTACACCTTCCTTGCCAAGTAAACCATCACACCTCAGCACCCTAACACCTGCATGGTGATAACATTGTCCAGCGCCCTACACCCTCCCTGCCAACTAAACCATGGCACCTCAGCACCCTAACACCTGCATGGTGATAACATTGTCCAGCGCCCTACACACTCCCTGCCAAGTAAACCATCACACCTCAGCACCCTAACACCTGCATGGTGATAACATTGTCCAGCGCCCTACACCCTCCTTGCCAACTAAACCATCACACCTCAGCACCCTAACACCTGCATGGTGATAACATTGTCCAGCGCCCTACACCCTCCCTGCCAACTAAACCATCACACCTCAGCACCCAAACACCTGCATGGTGATAACATTGTCCAGCGCCCTACACCCTCCCTGCCAACTAAACCATCACACCTCAGCACCCTAACACCTGCATGGTGATAACATTGTCCAGCGCCCTACACCCTCCTTGCCAACTAAACCATTACACCTCAGCACCGTAACACCTGCATTGTGATAACATTGTCCAGCGCCCTACACCCTCCCTGCCAACTAAACCATGGCACCTCAGCACCCTAACTACCACACCTTTTCCAGCACCCAGCACCCTGATCACCAACTCAACCATGACACCCCTTTTAGCATCCACTCAACCATCACACCCTTCCCAGCACCCTACACCCTCCCCACCAACTCAACCATCACATCTTCAAGCACCCAAACCATCACACCACTTAAGGAACCCTAACCATCACACCTTTTCCAGCACCCTGCACCCTCCCTTCCAACTGAACCATCACACCACTTTCAGCAATTTTGAAGCCCACTTATAAACCTATGGCCAATGTTGCCTATTGTTCTTGCAGTTGCTTCGCATTATGGAATAACCTCCGTAGAGGTTTTACAATGACCATTGGAGAACTTCATACGAGGTACGAAGTTTTACAATGGTCGTTGTAAAACCTCATACCCTGATTTGTCTTGCTATGGCTGATCGTAAAATGTCTCATTATTGAAAACTTCCAATATTTAGTGGCGATAACTGGTTTCGAACCCGCAACCCATTGCTCTCTAGCTTGGCGGTTTTATCCACTACGCTACGAAGGATCGCTGTGAGGAATGAGATAGTTTGTCAGTATGAACCATATGTTTCTCACAAGACAAGGTACTGCGGGCGGCCTTGCGTGTAGGACACGGGTGGCGTGCAGAGCACGCGAGCATTCGCATCTGATGGGCAAGGTGTTGGCTGCCAGGCGCATCCCAGTTGACACCGGCTGTTCCATCATTTGCGAGCTGTTCCATCAATGTTGTTCTACTCAGTACATGCACAAATTGAAAATAATACATATGTAATTTTTGTTGTCTTAGACGGTTTATAAGTTTGATAAAAGACTCCTCCTCGGTTTTGGTTCAGAATGTAAAACTTCAGTGTCAGGAAATCCCCTGAGGTTTTACATTCTCAACCAAAACCTCGGAGTCGTCTCTTATCCTACACTTCCAAACCCCACCTTCCCACACCTAACCATTACATGTCCCCCAGACAACAAACCCCTCTACACCCCTCCCCGTTCCACCTCCTCAACACCCTACTCTACTGTAGCAATGTAAGAGTCATACATGTGGTACAAGCACCTGCAGATTAATCACACATAAGAGTCCCATTCACATTCCAGCATGACCCAGATCCCCCTGACCCAGTCCTTCACTCTCTACTGATGACAGGGACACACAGAGGTCTGTCCCTAGTATGTCTCACAGTCCCTGAACCATATTTTTTTCCCTACAGCCCTCCCTGTAAGGCTAAATCCCTAAATGAAACAAGTCTAGATTTCCTCAGGTTCTGAATCTCTGGTCTCCCTGGGTCTCCTTTTCAATTTAAATGGGTTTATTTGTTACAATCAAAATCATATATATTCCGAGACTAAGCACTAGTCCCTTACAAACAAACCTCTGTTTGCTCATGTAAATCTACAATAACATGAGGCACATAGATACTTTTTAATTACATGTCAATCACATACAGCAAACACCAAAACAAAACGTACCCTTCTGGACAGATTGATCTTCATGAGCATAGAAGCATAATATCTTTAATATGAGTAATAAGTTTTTCTTGAATTCACTGACATGTATAGATAATCAAAGCTACTGAATCACTGCAAATCTTTGTTGAATAGGTAAAACTTTGTCACATATATAAAAATACTGATACATATCCAAACTTTTAATATCAAATCTTGCCTAACATGCACCTCAGGGATGAGCAGACACATCATGCTTCATACTCCAGCATGAGATGAGATGATAAGACGGTGATACGCGATACTCTCCACCAAGGTACGTGTTTTGCATTACTTCGTGTTAGGCAAACTCCCACCATCCCTCGGTAACACAATATGTTTCAACTAATCGCCTCTAGCTTCTAATTTCTCCCCTTTCCTTTTTACCAATTGGCTGAAAATTCCAAGCATGCCATCATATGCTCTGTACACAAGCAAGAAGATTTTGAAAAGATCTCGGAAGGATTGTAGGATGTGCAAAAACATGGCCGTCAGCAAGCTGATGAGTTCTGTTTTCCTCGTCAGAAGTGTTTGGAGGGAATATGATAACAAGTGAGCTATGTAGAGGTGGTCAGTGTCGCACAAAGCCACAAATTACCTCCGATTTAGGTGAAGAAGACGTGTAACCTTCAGTGACAAGCTATTCCGTATCCTTACATAAACAGAGTTCTTTCTATCTGGTCTCATGTAATGTTTCCTTACAGTTGCTTGCAGATTTGGTGATGATGCTATTGACATCACAGTTGTAGTACAGAGCATCAAGATATAAAAGATCCTCAAAAATGAAAAGATTTTCATCTATTCAAAAGGTCTTCTTTGGTTGACACAGAGTGTCACTTATGCCTGTCAGATTATACAGGGAGAAAGGCCCAAGGTTTAAGTTGTTTACCATTTTAATGAGACACAAATATGAATGGATACATTCGTGCCGCTGGTGCTGGAGAACACCAAGATGTTGGGAACTGAACCTGGTCCATTATGATGCTGAGCCAACCCTTTACAACTAGTTAGCCCAACCTGACCTACTAAATAATGAATAAATATGATCTTGTATGTCACAATCCAAATCCTCAAAAGACACTGGATACTTAAGTGAGTGAGTGAGTTGTGTTTAATGCTACTTTGAAACGAATTTCACGTGTACATTAACAACAATGCAAATATGGTAGTGTGTGATCTTGTGCATCAAGCCCAGGTCACAGATCAGTTGGTCAGAGAGAGTCCCTGGATTGGTGACCGTGTTTGGCAGCTTGATTCCTGTTTCTAGGACTTCAGTCCTGCCCCACAAAGAACATGTGACACAAGGGGTTCCACCTTTGGCAAATCAGTTTGTTCAACATTCCTTCTGTTAACCTAGCAGTGTATGGGTACCCGGTGGGATAAGATGGTCATATGACTGTTAACCTTGTGACATCCAACCACAATAATAATATGCATTTAAGATTTAAGACAAACTTTAACACACATTCTCACAATTTTGATTGAACTGTTTGTTACCTGCATCAGGTCCATTTTCTCCTTTTCCCCTGTGTTGACATGTTGCTGCAACTGTCGGATCTCGGCGATGATGGCTTGGGCTTGCGTCACATTGTAACCTCCACCCAGTCCCGCCAACTTTTGGTCCACCCTGCACATAAACACATTACATTACTCTAGGATTGTCACAAGTCTATCATAAGTATGTTCATACCAGTCATCTGTATCACAGTTCGTTGCTGAACACCACACTAAACGATATTCCAGCTTTACAATCATGTCTGGGGCAGACAATCCAGTGATTGAAACTGTGAGCTTCATCTACTAACCCCAACTGTCAAGATGTAAATAATCATAGAAGTTTCTCATCAAACTGCAAAGTGACGATTTATCCTTTGACACAGAACATATTACACATCATAGACATACAAGACCAGGATAACACCCCATTAAGAAAATCAGACTTATAAAAACACCCTTTCAACCATGTTCACTCACAATGACTGAGTCACACCAAGTCTTTTCCACTACAAAAAAGATCGATTTACTTGGGTTTTACTCAGCTTTCAGCAATATTACGGCGGAGGACACTAGGAATGGGCTTCATACATTGTACCCATGTGGGGAATCGAACCTGGACCTTCGGTGTGACGATGGAATGCTATAACCACTTGGCCTACACTCCTAATGAGAGGTTACTGAACATCTGATATTTCCCTAGGTGTACAGTTAATACATCACTTAAGTCTTCCAGTTGTGGAGTTTTTGAGTGACGTGGATACCTTTCTTTAGATTGCAAACATGTATCTACACCTTGTAACACATTTCTGGAATTTCAGTCAACACGTGAAAAATGAGAACCTCTGAAATATTACTAATGCCAGTGGCATTTCTCTTCTACAAATTGTTGTTACCTAATTTCCTTCTTAAGAATCAAGGACAGCTATGACACACAGGAAGTGAATCTTCATGTCAATGCTGATGCAATATATCAGCATTTACCTGCACAGTATGCCATAATGTCATGTCTTCCAACTCAATGCCTACATTTCAACAGGTAATACAAGAGCCAATACAAGCACCACAACAACCGCCAATACAAACATTCATCACAACCATCTTAAAACAACACATAACAGGGTTATCTTGGAGTTAGAGTGGGTGAGTGAGTTTAGTTTTACGCCGCACTCAGCAATATTCCAGCTATATGTCAGCGGTCTGTAAATAATCGAGTCTGTACCAGACAATCCAGTGATCAACAGCATCAGCATCGATCTGCGCAATTGGGAACCGATGACATGTGTCAACAAAGTCAGCAAGCCTGACCACCCGAGCCCTAAGTCGCCTCTTACGACAAGCATAGTCGCCTTTTGTGGCAAGCATGGGTTGCTGAAGACCTATTCTACCCCGGATCTTCACGGGTTTCTTTGATTTAGAAATAACTGCCCTTGGCAAGTAAATTGGGAAAAAGATGCCAGTTCATTCAAAACAGGTATTGTCAAAAGCTGTTATTTTCAAAAGTATTTGTGCAAACACAAAAACGATGCATTAAACCCGTTCCACTTTCTTGGTCTGGCTAACAGTGAAATACAAGCCACCCATATACTGAAAAATGGAATATTTAACTTAAAATTTGTTCGAGATTTGGGCATGTGTATCAACCTCTGCATATGTATACTGACAGGTTTCATGTCAGTAAGTCAAACACAAAAACATATTTCCAAGGACAGTAAAATATTCCTGCCGCAGGTCTATCCTCCCTTTTGGACCCTCACTTGACATTCCTTCTACCTCCCTGAGTAAGCCCTCCACACTCCGCCTGTTACGGCCATGGTTTATTATGACAGATAGTATGATGTAAGAAATACAGGCAATGCTTATATCGGCCTAATGTTTCCCCTTTCTTCTCCTTAATGGGAGCAGCTTCCTGTGGCCAAATACCTCCTGTCTCTTTGGCTCAAAATGTACATTTGGAATCCTGGCATACATATAACTTTCTATTTAAATGTCTAACTGTATGTGATAACCACACATCTACCTCCCCACAGCAAAAGTATCTTCCATAAACTAGGTGTTGAATAGGACTGGACAGTGTGGGTCATGGTGAAAAACAGCTTCTGTTTAAGCACAGAGAATAAGTGGGTGACAGGGTCACCAGTACCTCATATTCCATCCTGTCCATGAGTGAGGGAGTGAATATGGTTTTATGCCGCCTTTAGCAATATTCCAACAATATCACGGTGTGGAACACAGATATGGCTTCAAACATTGTACCCATGTGGAAAATTAAACCTGGATCTTTAGCGCGACAAGTGGATGCTTTAACTATTAGGCTACCCTACTGAGGAGTTGAGGTGAGGTGAGGTGAATTTGGGTTTATCGTGGTGCTTGAGAATATTTCGCTCATATGACGACGTGCATGCGTGTGTATGTGTGGCTGCTTGTACTAGCCCAGACTTAAGCTGGTTTTATAGTGCTAGCTCACTGTGAGATACCATGCCGCAGTGAAGCATGAATACCCCTCAGGCACATTATACTGACTCCGAGCCGACCAGTCCTTGTTGTACCCATTAATGCCGAGCGCCAGGCAGGGGCAACAAGTACCATATTTAAACGTCTTTTGGTATGACGCGGTCGGGGATCGAACCCGCGACCTTCCGCTCTCTGGGCGGACGCTCTAACCACTACACCACGGAGGCGGTTTACTTGATGTCCCTCCTGGTTATATTGTTGGATTATTTTTGAAAGTATTGAAAGTATGCTCAGTAGAGACCTGCATCACTTCGGGATGTTCTGTCACATGATGACTACATTTTGTAGGTGAGGTGAGGTGAGGTGAAATTGGGTTTAACGTCGTGCTTGATAATATTTCGCTCATATGACGACGTGCATGCATGTGTATGTGTGTATGTGCGGCTGCTTGTACTAGTCCAGACTGAAACTGGTTTTATAGTGCTAGCCCACTGAGATACCATGCTGCAGTGAAGCATGAATACCCCACTCAGACACATTATACTGACTCCGAGCAAGTCCTTGTTGTAGCCTTTAATGCCGAGCGCCAGGCAGAGACCAACAAGTACCATATTATAGCGTCTTTTTGTATGACGCGGTCGGGGATCGAACCCGCGACCTTCCGCTCTCTGGGCGGACGCTCTAACCACTACACCACGGAGGCAGTTTACTGAGGATTTGAGGCAGAACAAAGCAGTGAGTGATAGCTCAACAACATTCCACTATGTTGTAGGTTGACACCTTTGCCAAACACTGGGAACTTACTGTTCAGCAATATTGTAAAGACTCACAAGCAGCCTGATAAAATCTTATTCAAGTCCAAAGAATGCTTCTCATTCTGCCAACTCAATTTTTGAATGTTTATCAATTAACCTCAATTAAACTGAGACAATATTTTATTACAGTAACACTTACAACATCAAGACTAGGAAACAGACACCAGACTGAGCAAAATATCCCCTTAAATAGCCTCAACATTTACACTTGTGTGTAATGCTTCCCGTAACACTCACTGGCCTTAGACATTATCTGGGTCAGTGTATGATGCCCCTTTAAATGTGTGAGTGAGTTTAGTTTTACGCTGTACTCAGCAATATTCCAGCTATATGGCGGCGGTCTGTGAATAATCGAGTCTGGACCAGAAAATCCAGTGATCAACAGCATGAGCATCGATCTGCGAAATTGGGAACTGATGACATATGACAACCAAGTCAGCGAGCCTGACCACCAGATCCCCTTAGTCGCCTCTTACGACAAGCATTGGTTGCTGAAGATCAGTCCTAGCCTGGATCTTCACAAGTGTCTCCCACTGGAGTACTTGGTTCGTTTGCGTTACTGAAGGCACATTCTAACCTGGAGCTTCACGGGTTGTCCCTTAAAGGTGACTGTACCCAGTGTTATATCATGAAGCATAGTACCCCTTTAAAGATGACTGCACTGTTTCATAACAGCATTTTGCCTTTAAAAATGACAGCATTCAGTATTTAATGTCAGCATTATGTGCCTTCAAACACATTTGCAGTGTCTTATAACTGCATTGTGCCCCTTTAAAAGTGATTGCACTCAGCATTTTAAAGCAAATATAATGCTCACTTGAAAGCAACTGCAGGCTGTGATTTCGTAACTTAAAGCTGAATGTTGTCAATACCTGTATGCAATCAACAATACATTGTTTTGTGCAGGGACAGAATACCTGTGTCCCTAAAATAACGAGGTCAGTCCCCCTGCGACGAGGCAAGTAACAGGACAGGTAACACGAGGAATTTAGCCTCCCGGATAACAATAGAGCCATTCTGCCATCTCTGCTAAGAGGGAAGACACAAAACAAAATGTCAGGATAAAATAACACGTCCATCAAGTGGGAGACGTTTGGCTCAGATATTTCTCTTCAGATATGTAAATAACAATTGAGAGGTAAAATATTTCCATTTCACTCGACGCAGCACTAAAAAACGTTACTTTTCAATTTCAACAATCAACAATAAGTGTTCATATTTTTTTTTCAGATACGAAAGACAAAGACACAAGATAAACCTGACCAACAGATGACAACAAGGTGAAGTTAACACCATACTCCAGCACCATGTTAGGTTACAAAATGTAGGACCGCCTCCGTGGTGTAGTGGTTAGAGCATCCGCCAGGAGAACGGAAGGTTGCGGGTTTGATCCCCGACCGCGTCATACAAAAAGACGTTATAATATGGTACTTGTTGGTCTCTGCCTGGCGCTCGGCATTAAAGGCTACAACAAGGACTTACCCGGAGTCAGTATAATGTGTCTGAGTGGGGTATTCATGCTTCACTGCGGCATGGCATCTCAGTGGGCTAGCACTATAAAACCAGTTTCAGTCTGGGCTAGTACAAGCAGCCACACATACACACATACACAGGCATGCACGTCGTCATATGAGCGAAATATTATCAAGCACGACGTTAAACCCAATTTCACCTCACCTCACCTACAAAATGTAGTCATCATGTGACAGAACATCCCGAAGTGATGCAGGTCTCTACTGAGCATACTTTCAATTCTTTCAAAAATAATCCAACAATATAACCAGGAGGGACATCAAAAAGGACTTCACATAATGTACCCAAAGTGGAAAATTACGCAAAAACCTTCTGCATGACAAGTGAATGCTATAAAAACTAACCTACACGCCACCACCTGAGGCCTTAGACACTAACAACTTTGGTAACAACCCTGAATGTACTGATATGGAGCTGACAAACCAAGAATCATAATCAAGAGTTTAGGTTCCTGAAACACCAAGGGGAAGCAACTCTGCACAGCATATTGTGCCTAGACACCTGGGTAACCCAGGCTTATGCATTGACTTTTGAAATACAGAGCAAATTTATTTTCACCTAATTTAAACAATTCATTAATTTCAAAATTTCAACATAACCAATGTCAGAATAACAGTATGGACAAACTACTCAACTTCAGTAAGAGCCACAGCACTGACGCCAAACAGCTGAATGGCAAAAGGTGCTTTAGATTAATTGATATTCCTCCTATTTTGGGCTTATCTTCGTATTGTTTTATTTTCACTTAAGTTTTATCACAATAGCCAGATACCTGTCTCGTAACTGTGTGCACTTCACAAGTCTACATAGACAAAGCTTATCCAGTTCATCCAGACTGATATTTGGAGCCTGTTCTCAACACAAGCCAAGATCACCCACAATGCAATGTCTGAGTTTGTGCCAAATCGTGATGTTCCCACCAGAACAATTAGCAACAAGACGCAATGATAGAGAGCGCCCGAAGCCATCTCCTCTCACAGATGAACTGTGGGTAATTAAAGCTTAATCTTTAGCTTGTACAGGCTCCTTGTATATAATGTTAATTTATGAAGGCATGTTCAACTCGGAAGGAATTACGTGAGTCTTACATTGTTGAGTGAACCCAGTATACAGCCTAATGACCCCTGTTAGGACATACATGATGAGTCATGTGTTCAGTCATTACAAGAATTTCACCATGGTTAGCCAGTGCATGGCATCCGTAATGCCCTATATTTCAAGTGTCTACACACCAGAAGTTGCAGGATGAACAGTCCAAGTTCACTGCTATTTCCTTGCAGGATCTTAACCTCAGAAAGTTCAATCAACATATATTTTCAGTAAACTGTTTGTAAAATTAACCTGGAGCCACTTAGGTTTTAAGTTAAATTAAGAAGATATTTGGTGATGCTTTTCACTCAAATTTAACAGGAGCCACTTAGGATTTTGTGTTAGATTGTGAATATTTAGTGATGCTTTCCACATACCATATCACCTTACAAATAAATGTTGGAATGGCAATGTTGCAAACTGAAGAGGTATCAATCAGCCATTTTGTGAGTTTGCCTGCTCCTTCTACCATACTTGTTTGCCCATTAAGATCTGCTGTTAAACCTGATACTGTGTTGGTGCCTCCATTTACTCAACAGTGAACCATAGCTCCGTCTCAGCTAGTCACAAACAGCCCTTGACTGTGCAGCTGGGTGACAGGGTTCATGGTTTAACATCAAACCAAACAGTATGGGATATAATGCAAAATGTCACCCATTGACGTAAATGGTCCAGACTCAACTATTCGCAAGCCACATTTGCTGAGCTGGAATACTGATAGTCCAGTGTATTATGTATGACGCAACTTTTCATTCAGAAATAAAGGATATCTGTAGATATTTGTTCTGATTGGAAACATAGACCTTAATCAATATATCTATTTTTGCAATTTAATAACTGCCTCTTTAGCAAGTGGGATCTCAAGGCTGGCTGACTCATACCCAAGATGAGTTATACAGTGGCAAGTTACTATCACTAAAGTCAGTTATCTCCCTTTCTGACACTGACCTTGGCCTTCAACATGACTTGAAAAACAGACTAGGATTTAACAGACAGTAATTAGGCCCTATCAACCACAGGGGACATATATAATCAACTCTGGATCAGTAAAACTATTATTAAGTGATATAAAACACCAGAGAAACAAAAAAAGGAATTAAGCCCTTCGTTTGAGTGAGTTGCAAACAGAATTTCAGACATATTGCAGCTAAAAGATGTGGCAGGAAGCCCATCATGATCCTTAAAGTTCTCGTTTCCAATGTCGAACACATGAACGTTTACAGTTTGGGCAAATTACGTTATTGTCTTTTCTCATAAAAGAATGCAACATTTTTCAGTTTTCAGCCTATAGATGAAATTGACAATAAATCATTGACTGACATAAGATAAGAACAAGCCCGGGCCCTGTTTCACAAAGTCATCGTAGTATTCCGTGAGTGAGTGAGTTTAGTTTGACGCCGCACTCAGCAATATTCCAGCTATATGGCGGTCGAAGTGTTCAGACTATCGTAACTCCTATACTGTAATATAGACTTACGACAGTCGTAGCGCTACGATAGCTTTGAGAAACGGGGCCCTGAGTGGTAACTTAGGTAACATAAACATCAAGAGTTATCTCACCTTGTTAGTGTCTCCACTCCTCTCTCCTTGTACTGCATTTCAGCCCGAATCTGTTCAAGTTCATTTTTGAGTCGAGCGACACTTTTCCGTGCCAGGCATATGTCAGACTTGAGGAGGTCAGGGTCATACTTTGTACTGCCCACGCTGGAGTTGGAATTTACTGAAAAAAAGAAATCAATATTAAGTGAAGGACGATTTTGTAAGAATATTCAATAAAACTCTTTTATCATATAAAGGCTTGAAATTTCGATACAATAAACCGATCCTTTACCTTTGGTATCATATTACGATATGCAAAAGAGCTGTTTTGTCAGTGATATTTCATGGTGATATGCCATTTTCTCAATGAATTCATGAGTAATGGTTCCAATATCCTCAGACAGGGGTTCCCAACGAGTCAGTGAAGCATGGCACTAAGCACAGCTGCAATTCATGTCAGACTATATGATAAATCAGGCGATTGACGGAAAAACTGCATTTATGCAGAGTTTCCCCAGCAGCTTTAGTGAGTGAAATTACGTCTTAAACCTTCATTGACAGTTCCCATATCGCAAATACCAAACATTAGGAACAGAAAATATTCATTATGCGAGTGGCACTCATGACACAATTTTTATTCTTAATATATTACATTTACACACAGACATACCTGGCTTATAAGCCCTATTTATTACAACAGACTTTTATTAATCAAATGATGACCAGAGCGTCCATGAAGTCATGGCATGGACTGAAATGGATTTGTTTTCATTTGCCGTGGGGCATTCATCCACTCTCTGCTCACCACCAGCTTACAAACATAGGTTTAAGAACATTAATATTTTTTTTTAAATTATTGAGTGAGTATGGTTTTATACCACTTTTAGCACTATTCCCACTCCCACGCCAGGAGACCAGAAATGGACTTCACAAATAGTACCCATGTGGGGAATAGTGTTGGGAATTGGTTAAAATCTAATAATTGATGATTGGTCCATTACAACAGATCAATCATCGAAAATAATTGGTTAGCGTCATTTATCAAATGTTCCTGTTATTTTTGTTAATGCACACAAAAATAAAGAAAAAACATGTAGTAATTTGGGTTTTTTGCAAATTTTGCATATTTATATGATTAGTATGTTAGGAACACATATTTCCCGGATTCTTTAAGATAAATTCAATCATGACTTGGAACGAGCTTGTACATGTAGTGCTTATGAAATGTAAATTTAATGACACAGACAAAACCAGCCTTGTGAAAAATATTGTTAATGCAAACAAGTGTTCCAAGATTGGTCGTGTTCAATTATGAGAAACATGTTCGACTGCTTGGTCGTTTAGTCACTGCAACCAATCTTCGATTATTTCAATTAATCGGACCACCACGTGTGGCGAATCAAACCCAGGCCTCGGCATGACAAACCAATGCTTTAACCATTTGGCTACCCCATTGTCCCTCCAAAATATAGCAGCCTCAAATAGCTGGAAAACTGCTGAGTGCGGCGTAAAACTAACCTAAACTAAAACTAAAGAATATAGATGAGACACAAATTCACGTTTGATTCAACTTTGCCAAATTTTTTCTCATGTAATTACCAAGAAGATCCTGATGAAGTTCTTAGTGAACAAGAACACACAGCCACCTAGCCATTAATCTCCCCTGAAAGCTGACGCTGCTTTCAATAGACTTGCCACTGTTACACCAGTCTGCCATTTAGGCAGGTAAGAGCTTATAGTGCAGGGGAAGCCCATCTACCTGGCACACTCCTGCCTAAATAGACTACTTTGCGATACACTGGTCAAGAATGCAGCCCTATCTGCTCAACTAGTCTCCATAAGGCAGGGGAGAATACTGTCTTGTTTCACATTTTCAACCTCACAAGAAGATAGACTTCTACGTGCCACATATCCAGACAAGTGCAAGTCGGTAATGTCTGGTACTATTTGTAATATTTACATATATGTTTTCACTTTACAATAGGGCCTGTTTAAATGGGGAGAAACCACTGTAGTGGATTTATGAAAAAGGAAGGGAAAGGAGGGGAAGGGGGAATGGGTATCAGCAGATGAGAGGAGGGGAGGGGGTAGTTGGAGAAAAAGAATGCAGGGAATGGAAGGGAAAGGGGGATGAGAGTAAGAAGGTGAGGGCAGAGGAGAAAGAGTCAGAAGAAGGGAAAATGGGGATGAGAGTAAATAGATGAGGGCAGAGGAAAAGAGTCAGAAGAGTGAGTGAGTTTAGTTTTACGCCACTTCTAGCAATATTCCAGCAGGGAACATCATAAATGGGCTTCACACATTGTACCCACGTGGGGAACCGAACCCGGGTCTTCAACATGATGAGCAAACACTTTACCCACTAGGCTATCCCACCGTCCTAAAAGTCGGAAGAGGGGAAGACGACAGAAAGTCGGAAGAGGGGAAGGGAGAAAGAGTCAGAAGATGATGGGGAGGGGAAGGCGACAGAAGATGAGAGGAGACAGAAAAAGAATTGGAAATGGGACATTGGGAGAAGTGGTAGAGGGCATTCAGAATAACTGGTTGATAAAGCGTCTATTACGCCACTCTCCCTTCCCTTCAAACGATACTGTAAGCTGGGCCAAGGACACCAGTGACCGACAGCATGAAATCCTCTTCCTTACACACTGCGTCCACCAATGTCAGTGAACTCTTACATCAAGCAAGGGGACCCATTCAGGGCCTGTACAACCAGGAAACAGTGAACGTGTACTATCACATTTCATTGCTGCTGTGTTTGCACTTAGCAAGGCAGACAGTACATTCTAGCACTGCTTCATGGTATGTGTGCTGTAGTCGACACATCTCACTATGTCCCCCTTCACTCAGACCTCCCACTCACAAAGTCACAGCACCCACAGTGACAAATTCCACATGCTTCCTCAAAAGGCTCGGAAATGACTTCCAAAATATTGATCGTCCTTATCAAAACAAAGAGCCAAAATACCTAGCTGGATTCTTTCAAGTTTTAATATCTGTAGCAGAGTCAAATTCCTAATATCAAACCCTCAAATCTGATCCTCAACCATGTATTTGAATGCAAATCTCAAATTAAGCATCTATGATTTCCACCACTCAATGCTAAGGGGCTAAAGAGCAACATAACATATTTCTCAAAAAACTAAAATTTCAACACATGCTCAGGTATCCTCCTTAAAAGACTCAAAAGATAATGTTTAAACACATGTTATTCATCACTAGAACATAATAATCTTTCCTATTTAGAGATTCCAACAGCCATTTATCCCTTAGTCCCTAAGAGCAATTTTCAGAGAAAGCGTTCAACCTAACATTTCAAAGCCTGCCGAGCAATTGAGAAATCGGAAGAGGCTTGTCGCAATTATGTGGAATGTATGCAATTAAGCGGGCATTGTAGTGTCAGTATCCTGATTGGCTGTCCTGAAGGACTAGACCCTCTTAGATAGGTCAGCTAGCGCCAACATCAAAAACCTTGTACAAAGATGGGATCAGTTGCAGATCTCAATTCAGTACTATTACATGAAATTCAAAAATAAAAGCACTGACAAATATACTTTACATTTTTAATTTAAGAGAAATTAGCAACTAAAAAAGCTCATTATCAATCTGATATATTTTTTAACACAATTCTTGTGAAATGTTTTGTTAAAATACAAAAATATATAAAATCGGTTTGTCTTTTGTCTATTAAATTCTTTTATTCACAGACATTTATTTAGCCAAATTGAAAACATAAATATAACAAAGATGTTTTTTCATTTCAACCAACAAAATAATTATGTAACTAAAAAAATACTAAGAAATTCAATTTTTCACTATTTCAATCAACAAAATAACTGTAACTAATTAAGAATCACCATAATTACTTTAAGAATCCAAATCCAACATCACTGATGCCAATAACTTGAGTGTATGAATATTCATTCATTAGACTTCAATCATCTCCCACAACATAAATTCTTAAGGCAAAATATCTTTGTGTTGGAATAGACCACGCGTGGTGATTCTGCAGTTCTGTCATGGTACTTAAGTCTTAAGACAGTTGTCATTAATTATCCACAGAAGATGTAGTGATATGTGGTGCAACACAATGGCAATGGGAATGAATCGCCCAGCAGTGCTACAATAGGGATGAGAGAGTGGAGGGAGACCCAGTGTCATACAGTCTAACAGACTGTTACCTTTAACACTGTTTGAATAATGCAGGCCTTACATCTGGACAAACAATTTCAGGAAATATTTGCAAAAACTTAACAAAAAGAAAGGTTTTCATTCACTTTAATTGTTTGGTTCCTCCTTGAACTTAAGACCCTCTTGAATTATAAACATGCATGAATTATGTTTCTGTCCCTTACAGAGAATAATGCATTTTCAGAATCTCTTTCACCTCAAAGGATACTGTTATTCATTAACAAGCTATTATTTTCATGGTAGAATAATTGCATGTTCAAATTTGGCAAGACCTGATGATAATCACTAGCAACTGTATGGCTGGTGTAAAAGTGGGAAACATGCAGGCAGAAAGTCTCCTTCGTCCCTAACACAGTGGCCCAACCAGTTGATGATCTGGTGCCTATTTTTATAATGTATAGTTGTGTATAATATCATTAACAGTTGCATAATAGATCTAAATAGAATTTTATGATACTATAGCTGTTTTACTGTCCTCTGTCAACAGGTTATGCATTATTCTTTCAATGTAGAACTTGTTTTAGTCACTTTTTGGCGGAAATACTGATGTAACTTACAATTTTATCTACTTGCTGAATTAGACTGTAAACTTTATATGGTGACATCAAGTGTTGCTCATAACCATTTGGAAATATGGACTTAAAAACCCAACCAACCTCATCAAAAATTATGATTTACCCAAGTGGATTCCAAGTTAAAACTGTTCCCTAGCAACAAATACTGGTCATAACACACAGAAAACAAAATAAAACTTGCATAACAAACACTGTTTCATTAACATTGTGCCCCTGGGTATTTTTCTCCAACACAGTCTCAAGCTAAAACTACAGCATTACAAAATCAAAACTGGGAGAATTTTCTCTGAGCGTATTTGTCCTAACAATTATCTCCCTACAACAGCTGGGGCCAGCAACTCACAATCCTCCTCCAGGCAACAATATCAGGAAATCCAATAATCTTGCATTAAGACAAATTCTGATTTTGTTCTACAAAACAGGTGGCATTGTGCCTGAACATGCCACCTGGCAAATACTACCCTCCACAGCTAATAATAAGGCTTATGGAACCATAACAGACTGCAATAACATAACGTTATTACATCGATCGAGCAATACAGTTAATTACATGACAAACAGGTGTTCCTGACAGATATTTCGATTTTTAAAAATTATAGCTTTTATAAATTACTTGACAAGCAGGTTAAAACTGTATCCCAAGAAGCATATTATTATTGAAAACATGCAATTCTTGATTTCGATTTTTTAAATTATCACTTTTTTAAATTACTTTACGAGCAGTTAAAACTGTTTCCCTAGAAGTATATTATTATTATTGAAAACATAATAACATAATTGATTGTGAGTCTCAAACCTGCATTTCTCAAATAGCCAAGGTCCATAGAAAAGGGGGAATTGGGTTGTTTTTAAAAAAAAGACAACTTAACCACGGTCAACCTTGACCCAAAAATGTTTGGCAAACTGCAGCAAGAATGTACATGTGGCAGAAGATATCATCAGCTCACTCACTCACACACTCTTTCTTATACAGACGTGCACATAAAATGTTAATCCCAAATAATTAACCATTCAGACCAGGCAATTACTAAGCAATGCATTGCATCTTGTGAGACTTATCTGATTAATAACATTTTTAGCAGACTTGGCTTCTTAAACCCTTTGGTCTCATTACAGCTGCCCAATATTAATGAATCCAAGAATATAAATCCCCGACTAGCCAACAGTAGGATATAAATACCCACAAAAGTAATGCCAGAGCTTAAGCCTGCTCGGCCACCCAGCCCCCGAAGCAACTGACTGCCAGAAGAATTGGCCTCTGAGAACTATGGTAAACCAAGCGAAAATATGTTTTTTCATCCATTAGCACATTCCAGTAATAGTCGAGATAGCAGTAGCATCTTTCCATTAACCCTCCTGCCTCTGACCCAACACTCACTTCCAACAAACACTACAGGGGTTATCAGCGCTGAGATATGTGTAGGACTTGCTTCATAACAGTATCATCTCAATGGGTCTTTTCACCATTTAATGTGTGTTGGGAAAACCTCCTTGTAGTTAAAGAGAGGTAAAGACGCGACACTGCTAGAGTTAAAGTGATTGGATATATCAGTGCTCAATAAACAGTCTGACACTTCCTACACAAAGATAAGAGCTTCTCAGGGAAACAGTATGTAGACTTTGTTGTGTTGGTGATCGTCAATGTGAGTGAGTGAGTTTGGTTAACTCTGACTTGAACAACATCATGCCATGGCTGTGGGTGAGCACTTACACAATACTTCAGTTATATCATAGCATTACAGCGAGTTTAGTCCAGCACCTCCTTAAACAATACTTCAGTTATGTCACAGGATGTCTGCTTCATTTATTTTGTTACTTATTATCTTTGGGGTGGGGTTGGGGGGTATTTGTTGCTTTACATCACATTCTGCAACATCCCAGGTATATGACCTTGACCTATAATGATCCAATCTGGACCAGACAATCCAGTGACTGATACAGTGAACACCGATCCATGGCATCGTTCTATGATGACACCAACCAACAAGTCTCTGACACTGACAACCTGATCCATTGCTTAAACCTCATGACCAGCATAGGCTGCTGGGGGCATATTCCTCATTTACTATTTCATTTTGGAGGGGTAAGCATGAAGTGAACAAAACCAGTTTTAAGTTGGCATTAAAAGAGTCTGAAAAAAGGTGTGCAAATAGTGAATAACCTGTTTGTATCCGGCAGCATTTTCCATGAAACACCTGACAAGCAGTACGGTGCATACAGACTACGGACCTTGATCAGGGTAAATCTGATATTCAAACCCATGACATAGTGTGATGCCCTGTTCCATAAAGCCATCTGGGCACTATGACTATGTTATGCCAAGTTAAAGTACAATCACCCAACACTATGGCAGTCTTCTGGACCCAGGACCCAAACATACGGCAACATCTGAAGACTGACTGACTGAGTTTGGTTTTACGCCGCTTTTAGCAATATTCCAGCAGCATCACGGCGGGGGACACCAGAAATGGGCTTCAGTCAATGTACCCATGTGGGGATTCAAACCCGGGTCTTCGGCGTGACGAGACAACGCTTTGACCACTAGGCTACACCACCGCCCGGCAACATCTGAAGATGTTCAAAAGCTGTTCAACACTAGTTGTACAACTCAGTATGCATGGTACTCTTAGGTAGAGGGCAAGAAGCCAAAAAAGAATCACTGTTCCTTAGAAACCCAGCACTTCGGAAAACTTAGAAACTTAGAAAAAAAAATTTCACATCCACAAAAAATCGTCACTAAAAGGAAAGTTGATTGTACAATTCCAACAATATCCTTACTTACAATCAAACAGTCATGATACCAGGTGTTCACACAAAAAATGAGCGTATCCCCACTAGATAAACAATATTTTTTATAGAAAAAAGAAGACATCACAGACTGAGCTATAATGAACATCAGAAACAACAAGGCTAATTTCCATGTCCATTATGGTGGCAGAGACAACATTCTGAAGATACTGATGCCTCAGACCTCCCATTACCATGTCTTTCCAACACAAGGAACAAGCACCTAATGACTATGATCCCTTGTTAAAGAAGTTAGGATCTTACAGCACTGATACCAGTTTGGCTGACAAGAAATGGCAACTCCCCATGACAGGATACTGTTGGAGCCTCACAGAAAGTCTACCAGTGAGGGGATTCCCTGCATAGCTGACCACATTTCTCCTGTCCAGCAGTATCTGGTCTGACCAACACAGAACGCCATCCATCACTGGCGGCTACAAGAATGTGCAACATAAGACCGAAATAGAAACCGCTTGTTTCTCTCCATGTATCATGTGGCTTGTTGACCTTATTATAGTCAGACATAATTTAGGTGTATTCTGGAGTAGGGAATACTCGACATGGAAATGAAAAGTACAATAATGCTGTTTTTAGTTATATGTGAAGTTTACCGGCACTGGTTTGAAGAACAATGTTTAGCCGTTTCAGGATGGTGTTGACTGCCATAGAGATTAGTCTAACACTTCTACCTCCCACTTCAGTTTGGCAAAGCTTGGATGTCATAATTAAAGAGACAGTTTCCTCATTAAACACAGCATGCTAAACAGGCAGTCTAGACAGACACCTGTTAAAGACAACACGCAATAGCAGCAAACATGGATGGAAACTCACACTTATCCTCTACCCAAGTAAAAAGGTGAACATTTCCTGGACAAAGAAATCACAGTCTCTTTGGGCGATTTCCTTACATTACATGTCTCCCAAGCCTAGAAAATACTTCAGGATGATGTCTAATGATGAATGAGTTCATCTCTAGTCTTGAAATAATATTTTTGAAAAAAAATAATAATTAAGAAAGATATGAAGCACCTTTCCATGTAAGTAAGACAAAACATGTTTTTTTATAATTATTTTTTAGGAAATTCTTCACTTTTAAGTTGATAACCAGAGAATAAAGCCGATAACTGCTGGGCAGATACATAGGAACTGTTAATACTCTTCCTCTGGTATTGCTCTGCAGAAACATAGGGACTGTTAATACCCTGTAACTTGGGCGATGCTGCTTCTGTTTTCCTTCGTTACTTCCATGTATTTATAGCCTGGTGTAATTAAGTGCACTTAAGGTTTTCTGCTGTGTAACAAGGAAATAGTGTTGATGTGGCATAAAATTTCACAGAGAAATATTCTATAGACTTGGAGTGCGTGTCCATTGTCAAGATGTAGCTCAACAGATCTGAACTGTGATTTATGTTTGGGTGAATGTTGTTCGGCCACATTCATCAATATTGCAACAAATCATGGAAGTCTGCATGTAAACAAATCCAGTCCAAGCAAACCAGTTACCAACACTCACTGCCAGCAGAGAAGAAGACAAGGAAGCAACAAAGTCAGAGAGCTCTACCAACAAATCCACAGTGGATGTTTTCTGACCCGAACTCAGGTTATAGCTGGTCTGTTCAATGTATGACTGAGCTGGGGTTATAACTACCCCCTCCATAGTATTTCAGTTACAATGCATTACAAAAGCAGAGAAATAAGATTATTGAGTAAGGCAAAAAAAACATAGGTGCAGTGTTGAGAAACCCAGCAACATGATCTGGATGAAGTGGGATTCGAACCTATGTATATAATCACAGATTTGTGGCAGCTCAAGGGTGAGTGAGTTTAGTTTTACGCAGCACTCAGCAATAAATGGCATCGGTCTGTAAATAATCAAATCTAGACCAGACAATCCAGCGATCAACAGAATGAGCATGGATCTGCGCAACTGGGAACCGATGACATGTGTCAACCAAATCAGCGAGCCTGACCATCTGATCTCGCTAGTCGCCTCTTACAACAAGCATGGGTTACTGAAGGCTCATTCTAACCCAGACCTTCACGGGTCGGCAGCCCAAGGGACATAAGTGAGACACCAAATTGCAGACCATTAGATGACTTGCCTCTGCCCATCCCCAGTTTTTGTGGAGGAAGTATGGGTACTTACAGCTGGTTCTGGATGACTTCCATCCCGACAGTGTCTCGTTGAGGTGAAGGAACTCATCCTGCGCCAGCATCAACCTTTGCTCCTTCACTGCATATATCTCCTTCTTGGCCTGGAAATAACACATACAGGTAAATAATGGCTGGATTGAGAATAATATTAGAACATATCTCCTTCTTGGCCTGGAAATAACACATACAGGTAAATAATGGCTGGATTGAGAATATTATTAGAACATATCTCCTTCTTGGCCTGGAAATAACACATACAGGTAAATAATGGCTGGATTGAGAATAATATTAGAACATATCTCCTTCTTGGCCTGGAAATAACACAGACAGGAAAATAATGGCGGGATTGAGAATAGCATTAGAACATATCTCCTTCTTGGCCTGGAAATAACGCATACAGGTGAATGACAGTTGGATTGAGTGAGTGAGTGAGTGAGTTGAGTTTTACACCGCACTCAGCAATATTCCAGCTATATGGCGGCGGTCTGTAAATAATCGAGTCTGGACCAGACAATCCAGTGATCAACAGCATGAGCATCAATCTGCACAATTCGGAACCGATGACATGTGTCAACCAAGTCAGCGAGCCTGACCACCCGATCCCGTTAGTCGCCTTTTACGACAAGCAGTCGCCTTTTATGACAAGAATGGGTTGCTGAAGACCTATTCTACCCCGGATCTTCACGGGTCAGTTGGACTGAGAATAGTATTAGAACATATCTCCTTCTTGGGAAGCTCGATTGCAAATAGTGCAGGCATATCTCCTTCTTGGCCGGGATGTAATGCATGCAGGTGAATGACAATAGTATTGCAAATAGTATCAGAATATATTTCATCCTTGGCGTGAAAACATGCATACAGTTAAATGTCAGTTGTACTGGAAATAGTATCAGGATATATTATATCTGGGTTTTTTTTATTAAAAACAATGCATCCGTGTACAAAACAATTGTATTGCAAATGTATCAGCATAATAGGTGCTGAGGGTTGGGCACAGTTATAGCACAACTTACATTTCCAAGAGTGAGTGAGTGAGTGAGTGAGTGAGTGTGAACGAACACAATATAAAAGCAAGAGTGAGTGAGTGAGTGAGTGATTGTGAACGAACACAATATAAAAGCAAGAGTGAGTGAGTGAGTGAGTGAACGAACACAATATAAAAGCAAGAGTGAGTGAGTGAGTGAACGAACACAATCTCAAAGCAAGAGTGAGTGAGTGAGAGTAGGTGAACGAACACAATATAAAAGCAAGTGTGAGTGAGTGAGTGAGTGAGTATGGTTTTACGCCACTTTTAGCAATATTCCAGCAATTTCGGGGCAGGGGACATAAAAGCAAGACACAAGTTTACGATGAAATTCCAACATGATATACAAACAATGCTTTATAATTCCCCAGGTTCCCCTGGTGAGCAGCCCAGTATGGTCGCCTGTCAGCCCTGCCATGTACTGGGAGACACATACATCACCAAATGTCAAGCCCACAAGACAGATGGGCGCTGATCAATGGCAGGCTCTCACTTGTCCTGTGTTCTAGACCCAACTGGAGGTTAGTCCATAATCACATCTCATCAAAACCAGTAATATCTCCATACACTTCCATCAGTGGATACGGCAAAGGTTACATCACGACAAACAAGCAAATTAATTTGATCATTTCCTCTTCAGTCAGAGCATGTTAAAGTGCCATGTCGCCAAATTTATCAATTTTGAGAATTCTGTATAGTAAAAAAAAACATGTAAAAACTTGTGTTAAATGTCATCAATTTTTAGTGAGTGAGTGACTGACTGACTGAGTTTGGTTTTACGCCGTTTTTAGCAATATTCCAGCAACATCACGGCTGGGAACACCAGAAATGGGTTTCACACAATGTACCCACGTGGGGAATCGAACCCGGGTCTTCAGCGTGACGAGCCAACGCTTTAACCACTAGACTACGACACCGGCCCTTTGAGTGAGTGAGTGAGTGAGTGAGTGAGTGAGTGAGTGAGTGAGTGAGTGAGTGAGTGAGTGAGTGAGTGAGTGAGTGAGTGAGTGAGTGAGTGATCTGACATAACATTGGCAATATTTCGGCCATTGTGAACACATCCATTAATTTTGTCTGTCATCTAATTTTTTGTTGCTATGATGTAATCAGCTATATATTGTCCTGCAAATACCTGAAATCTATGCCAACAAGTGGTTGAAGTCATGAGCACAACGACAAATAACAAGACAGGGCACAAGCAAAGGTATCTGGTGATAAAATCCTGCCGCCAACCCACTGCTGATGACACTCTGAAGACCATGGATAACAGAAACCCACATTCAAACCCACCACCATCCCTCAAAACTTGAGCACACCAGTGTGTTCTTGCACCCTTACATTCCTAGGTCCTTAAATGTGGTGCTTCTGTTTTCATGGCTTCTAAAGTAACATTCAGGAAATTGTATGAAATGTATTTTTGACAAAGAACTTGTCATGCTATTTATATGAATGTCAACAAAATTATCAGGGTCGTGTTTGAAACCAAAAGATCACAGATTCCACATGGATTTTGTCAATTTTGGATATCAATCCTTCATATTTCTGGAGCAAGGAGCTGCCCATTATGAAGGCAGTATTTGTATTCAGCTGTCTGTTTTATCTCCATAACATCCCTCAACCTTCATCACTGATGGTGTCAAGCCTGTATCAATAGGGAAGTGTTTGTGAACCACACAAAGTGCAAGGATACAAGGTGGAAGTGGAAGTGCAAACAATCCTCAGCCTAATTGCTCACCTCCAGATCTTCTTGCGCTGTGACAAGATAGTCCTTTAGCATCAGTTCCTGTTCTTTTCGCCATTGTTGCCTTGGGTCTTCTAACTGATTTGTTTCTGAATAACAAAGTAACAATAACATATCAAAAAATATCTAATTCAATGACAATTCAAAGAAATAAGGTCAAAACACCCCACCACTCCATTTTGCTAGCTTGCAAAATGTTTCTTCGATTTACAATGTCCTCAAGCCAGGATTCTGGTAAACAATTCATGGAATTTTTCTCTGCGCAAATTATATGTTGTGATAGGCTGTACAATGCAAACCACTCAATTGTTAAAAGCAGTCAATTTTACACGAAAATACCCTTTACTTTGCAATACATACACACACTACATGTTGTTTATTTACCGAGCTGGATGATAATTCTTTAAATGCTACAAAAATGTCGGCAATATGTTACACTATGGGACAGGAAGTTTTTTCAAGGGACACTGGTGACCTAAATATTTTTGCCAGGTAGCTGCTGACATGGTTGAGAGAGCTTGGCCAAACAGTCTGGCCTGCAGACAAAGACGCATAGCGCGCGACAATCAAGCAGTCCTAACGCGCTAGTTATTTCAGCGAGGTGGCGTAAGGTTGAAGCAGCCATTGTACCACAGAGTAGGCACACACATAAATACACTGTTAGCAAGTTCAGCTTTTGTTCAACACTTGTTAGGCTTTTACTTGAAAATATTTTCGTTTCCCACGGAGGGAACATAAAAGACGTCGAAGTGGCTTTGATCATGGTATATAGAGTTTTATTCAATACATGGGATATAAGTTCTAAGTGCGTAATACGAAATGGGGATCAACAGTCTTAGTGTGATAAGTAACTACACGACAGCCCTGTCATCTTAACACAATTGAATGCAAGGGTGTTCTCATAAGTTTATAAGGTTTGAACAAAACCTCATAGTGTTTTCAAGTGTTTACAATAAACACTTGGAACTCATCAATTCATTACATACAAATAATACTGACCCTTTCAGCCACAGCATTAAGTCATTAAGCTCTATTAAGCAGTTCAGCTGACACACTGAACAATGAATAAACCCTAAGCTAAGATTTTATGAAAATATACCCATTAACCATCGACAGTAGACACCCTGATATAGAGCAAGATTCAGAACAAACTGTATTACCTGTTTAAGAAATTATCTCTGCCAATATGCCAAGAAGGAACAAACAGATGAGCATAAAACTAGTTGTCAGGGTTTATTTAAGGTATAATATTAATTTTTTATCTAACTAAAAATTTGTCAATGAAAAATATATGTTTTTATTCATCCGAATTTAGAAGAAACATCATTATCAAATGAAAAAAATACTTTTTGCTGCAGACAAAATATATCTGAACTGACTGGAGCTCTCCCCACTGGCCACTTAACGTAATAGAAGTCCCATGGATCAATGTTCACACGGCGTGATCTCTTTCAATAATAAAAATTCAATGCATGTCACAATATTTAATTTTGGAAGGGGAAACATAGCTTGCAGTTGCAGACAGCCTATCCCATCATCTTGGGCGTACCATACACAAATGTTCCTGGAAATTTATCAATGAACTTCAGATAAGATCTCCTAACATCATGCTCTGATCCTGAAATACTGCATAAACATTTTTCTGGAAACATAGTAGTTGGCTGTTCATGAGATAGGGAGATTCAGATCCTCTGACAAGTTTATCAAGCCCTACAAACGTGGGTTTGACAAGGAAACACTATATTTCCTTTACACTTATTTCATTCAGGGCATTTCATATTTGACAAGAAATCATTGAAATTACACCCCTAGGGATGGATCTCAAAGGAATCCTCTGGTCAGGAAGATGGATATATGTTTTGTTCATTTATCTGTGTTTATTAAATTGGGATGGGTACTGAAGCTCACCTTCAAAATATAGGAAAACAGACAAATTATTGTGTAACATCTTGAAAATGAAGGGAAAATGAGGCTTGAGATGGTTGTTATGCCTGAGTAACACAATCAACGCTGGGCCAGGTAAACCATATCCTCAGGGCATGAACGCAGTCATGACATGCAATCAGCCACGTCCATTCAATGGATTTTAGTCAGCTCATACAGCAACATAAGAGGCACTGAGGAATGATCCTGGCAAATCAATTTCTCCCTGTGCTAAAGAACTAACTACACCGTCTCAAACTACCTCCAATCAAGGCTGGCCTTCCTTCAGCCAAAAGGCTGAAAAATGTTCCAGTATCGTCTGACACACAGAAGACCAACTGAAATATCTCAAAAATATAAGACGAAGTGGTTCAGGCAAAACCCTTTCTAACATTCTAACATCTAATAACAATGGTTACTATATACAAATAAAATCTCAAAGAGGTGAGGTGAGGTGAAATTGGGTTTTAACGTCGTGCTTGAGAATATTTCGCTCATATGACGACGTGCATGCAGGCGGACGCTCTAACCACTACACCACGAAATCTCAAGGAAAGCAATGTTGACAATGAAAGACTATCCAATAAACTACTCTCAGCTTCATGAGATTTCAGAGGAATCAGGTGGTGACGTCCCGCCTGAGTGTGCTACTGTAGCTACAGACTGAAGCGAGGTCTCACAAAACCTAGTATAACACTTCCATGAAACATGCAGCTATTGAAACTTACGATTCATATGATTGATGTAGTATATTCCCACGTTGGGGTCATATGACTCCTCCCAGCCAATGGGCAGTTCATCTCCAACACAGTCTGCAAATGTCTGAGGCTTTGTGTATCTGAAATAGGACAAAGTAGGTTGAAAACAAATAATTATATTTCAAACAGTAGTCACTTCTCAAAGTGTCAGCTTAATGGTGAGAGATACGACAGTAAATCTCTGCAAAATCCTAACCCTCCCTTTAAATCCCCAAAACATCCCTTCCCTAATCTCACGTGAACCGTTGACAAATGAACTAACAAATCATATATTTTCTTCCTTTTAACTTTAAATTGTTGAAAACTTGTGTAGTTGTCAAAGTAATCCATCAAACAGGGTACCCGTGAAGATCCAGGTTAGAGCTGGTCTTCAGTAACCCATGCTTGTTCTGACCCATGCTACAGGTCGTCAGGCTCGCTGGCTTGGTGAACACATGTCATCGCATCCTAATTGCATAGATTGATGCTCATGATGTTGATTACTGGATTGTCTGGTTCAGATTATTTACAGATTGCCGCCATATAGCTGGAATATTGCCGAATATGGCGTTAAACAACCAACCAACAAATAGGCCATGACAGGGGATAAAATCCATAAATTCCACAAATATAAATTCCATACTAGACAGCAATACCATATCTTTACACAGACCTCCACAAATACCAACCAATACCAACCAAGTCTGATCTGGCAGCAAAGGACTTCAGGTTTATATCTCTGTCATAACATTTGCTTCCATTTTTACACATTTGTGTTTACACATGAGATTTTTCCTCAACCCACACCCATTCACGTAAAAATAGGCTGTCAAGTTCAACCAGAGTACTTGTGCTATTGTCACCTGAAAAGTGATACTTAAAATTACAACCAAAAAATACCGGGCAATATTGGGGTTATTCCCACATGTAAGTGACAATGTAACAATGCGTCTGGCAGTGGGATACAAGTGCAAATCATTTACTGTAAACGCAAGCCAGGTGTGCTGCAGATTACCCTGCAAGCATGGTGAAGTTCAAACTGTCACATTTAAAAAAATGACAATTATGTATTTCAGTGTAACCTTCAGTTTACACTAAAGTGCTAGGCGTAGTTCTGAACAGAAAGTGTCTCCATTAATAAGGATGCACATTTGCTACCCATCAGACTAACTTACTGGAACTTGATATGCTTAGCAGAAATATTACACCAAGGTTAGGAAAGGCCACAAACAAAAACTGTTTGTTCTCTTTACATGCTGCGAAAAAGGTGAGAACGTAGGTAGATGGTTAAACTGGGTGGGAGGATAGATAGGGAAAACAGGGTTGATCGATGGACAAAACAGGACGGGTTGAAGGGAAAATAGGTAAAAAGGAATTAATTCAGCATTTTATAAATCTATTCACAATCTTTGCTCAAATTACCATATCTTGATACAAATATGGAAAACAAAGTACCTCATTATATACACTAGGATTCTCAGAGCGATACTAGATCAAGTCAGTTCCCAGCTTAAGGTCAAGCAATTGTCAACATTCAGAAGACATACAGACATACTCAAGTCCACTGAAGACTCAGTTTAGCAGTTGAACACAAGATAACACCAGAATCAACCTAGTTCACACCCAACAAATGATTACCATTTAATTTGAAACCTTATATTCTTAAACAGCACTCTTGGAAGATAAAACAAACATACTGTAAATAGACTCGACAAAAAGAGAATAATGATGAAAACACAGCTCACATGCAACAACCCTGGAGCACTCCTCTCTGATCTGCCATACAAATACTACAACATTGCCTCCACAATCAATGTCTGGACCAGACAGTCCTGTGACTGACAAACCATGAGCCTTTATCCTCGAAATTTGGATCCAATAAAAGGCAATCATCCAAATCCCAGAACAAGACCACCAAATCACCACCAGGGGAACTATGACTTAGGGATCGTTTTTCTTTTCCATTTTTTCTGTATGTGTCTGTGGTAACCACAGGAATAAGGCAACCATAATCCAGAGGGAATGTTTACGCTTATAATTAAAAGCAATCATCCAAATCCCAAACCATGACCACCAAATCCACATAGCAACCTCTTATAACAAGCTTAGGTTGCAGGAGACCAATATTCTTTTGCAGGCACACAATGAACAGGATGACGGCTGATATGCAATGAGAAGGCTAAACTACAGCAAAATACACCTTTTTTAGGATAAAATGATTGTTTAACTTCAACTCATGATGTCGACATTTATTTCTTATGTACTATGTACAGCTTCTACATGAATAACAACCAAACGATGTAATCATTATTTGTCTTTATAAAGAGAGGTGTTCACATAAGCTTATAGCTTGTTCACCAAACCCTATTCAATTTTGTTTGAATAAAAATATGCTTAAACCAAACAAAGCAGCAGTCTCGTACTACAGGAAAGACCTCAGCCATTCTGATCATAGATGTTCAGTACCTGGGTGAAACCCAAATGTCCATGAAGTATGAACATGTTCCTGAACCTCTCATCATGGTGGGTCGGTGCGGTAGCCTAGTGGTTAAAGCGTTGACTCGTCACGCCGAAGACCCGGGTTCGAATCCCCACATGGGCACAATGTGTAAAGCCTATTTCTGGTGTTCTCCGCCGTGATGTTGCTGGAACATTGCTAAAAGCGGCGTAAAACCAAACTCACTCACTCACTCTGATCATGGCACACCAAAGGGATGCAATCTGTACAACAAAATTCAGATATTAATGACAAGGTCCCTATTATACCATACCCACCTATTAGCCACACACCTCCCTAATCATACTGTCCAATCTGTTTCACTTGTGTATCATAGCATTTGTTTCAATTCAACAGTCCAGTTCACATACTGTTAGATGAAATACTTACTGATAGATGACATTGTTTCTTTATATCTCACTTTATTTATAGATGGTAAGTTGGTTTAACACTGCTTTAAACAGTAATGCAGTAATACCAGCATGTCATCCTAATATGTTATGGAAACCTGCAGTGATGCACTGCTCCGATATTGACCACTTTGTTGAAACCTATGAGAACAGGTATGGTGCTAATAACCCTAAAAACATAATCAGAGAAAACTGGGAGTGAAGCCTTGATAATATGGTTCTGGACTGCCCGGGTGATGGAACTACCTTGAACGACTTGGACAGTATTTAAAAGAAAACCTTGCACTTCCTTCCTAAGCAGCGCCTGACCCACCTCTCCATGAACTCCCCCTTCCAACTACGGCATGTTCCCCACAGCTGTAACTACTTGTTGATACAAGTAATGGGTGATAAAGTAAAACTGAAGCACAAGTCTCAGCCAGCTTCCAGCTGTCTCCCCTCCTTCCTTCATCCCCCTCCACCCACTGTCACAATCAGCAGGATGTCATCTCATAACAGGCAGGCTCAAACACCTGCTGTATAACTATATATAACTGTATACACCAGCAGTGTAACTATAACTGTATACTGTATACCAGCGTATATAACTATATACTAGCGGTATAACTGTATACACCAGCAGTATAACTGTATACACCAGCGGTATAACTGTATACAGCAGGTATAACTGTATACACCAGTGGTATAACTGTATACACCAGCGGTATAACTGTATACACCAGCAGTATAACTGTATACACCAGCGGTATAACTATATACTAGCGGTATAACTGTATACACCAGCGGTATAACTGTATACCAGCGGTATAACTGTATAACTGTATACACCAGCAGTATAACTGTATACACCAGCACTGTATATAACTGTATACACCAGTGGTATAACTATATACACCAGCAATATAAATGGGATATACCAGCAGTATAACTGTATACACCAGCGGTATAACTATATACTAGTATAACTGTATACACCAGCAGTATAACTGTATACACTGTATAACTGGTATAACTGTATACACCAGTGGTATAACTGTATACACCAGCATAACTATAAGCTGTATAACTGTATACACCAGCAGTATAACTGTATACACCAGCAGTATAACTGTATACACCAGTGGTATAACTATATATAACGGTATAACTGTATACACTAGCAGTGTAATATAACTGTATACACCAGTGGTATAAACTATATACCAGTATAACTGTATACACCAGCAGTATAACTCTATACACCAGTTATAACTGTATACACCAGCAGTATAACTGTATACACCAACAGTATAACTGTATACACCAACACTATAACTGTATACACCAGTAAAACTCTGTATAACTAGTGGTATAACTGTCATCTGAACACTAACAATAAACTAACAGTATAACTACAGCCGTAGAATCTTAAATAATTGCACATATGTAAACTGGTGGTAAAAAGGCAAACTAGGAGTATCACTAAACTATAAACTAGCCGTATTCATACCCTAACTACTGCAGAAGAACTATGTAAACTAGTAGTTCAAACGCATAGACTAATAGTAGAACATTTAAGGAGGACATAAAGCAGCTTCAACAAAACGGTTGACACTGCATATACCCAAAGAATGTAGCTGACCTCATTCTGACTTCAAACAGCTTTTGTTATGGATGGATATTCAGTGTATCTTTCCCATGCCAGCTTGTTATGAAAACATGAGGGTGGCATTGATTAGGATAATTTGTTGTATACAATAAAGCTCAACACATTATCCTTGAGGCCCACGCATGTAGTGAGGGGTGCCTCGTCCAGACTGTACCTGCCTTCATCATACAGTATCTATATCCCCCAGATAGAAGCCTACATTCTTGACTGCTTGAAGCAGAGAAACATATTAGGTCCTTTTTGACTCAGTTGTCCTCTAAATATCATATCTAGTTAGACAAAGATGTTCTTTTGGAAACAGTTGTCCTCTGAATATCATGTCCTGTTAGAAAAAGTTGTTCTTTTAGACAGAGTTGTCATCTAGAAATGTCTTCCTGTATACAGCTGTCATCTAGATATCATGTTATGTTTGATACCGCAGTCATTCAGACAGTTAGTTTGAAACTGTTATGATCCCTATTTATCCTGATTTATTTAACAATTGTCACTCAAATATGATTTCAAACTGTTAATTTTCCATTCACTGCAGCATCTCACACAGTAACT